TGTTTATTTTAAGTTTAATATTGGACTGTGGAAACTCAAATTATTTCCCATGAAAGTGGCACAATACATGTACTTTTTTTATTACGGGAATTATTTGTGAATCTATACTTTCACAGCATTTTACAGTAAGCAACATTCTAACCACTAGGGAAAAGATTGTTAGCTTCCTGGGAATTTCACTGTAAAATGACTGCGGGCGTCAGCAGGCGCGCATTCATCGAGCTCGGGTTTGCGACAAAATGCTTCAACGAAAACCGACCAGCAATATGATCTTCGCTGTTCGTTGAAAACTATAAACCAGGGTTGTTGCCAGCCATTTCTGCAATGGCACACAACAAATTGCTGTCCTGAAAAATTCATTCATCCATTTCATTCCTTTTAATTACTACAGGACGAAGAAATCCACACCGCATTACAGCAGGTAATACAAAGCTCACAGAAGTAACTGCTTCAATGGTCATGCGCCAACTAACAACACCATGTGAAAATTGGAACACGGCTACTTACGATCAAAAGAGCTCAAACTAAGATTTCACGGTAAGTGTATCGTAAGATGGACTCTTTTATGAAGAACCTACATGTACATGAATGTTACTTGTCAGTTTTGACATATATTGACCATTCGAAATTTTGATATACATGTACATATATTTTGTTTTTGGACAGATCGAACAGGAACTTTTTATCGGCTAATTTTCATGCAAGGTATAATCAGTAACAATCAAGATGCAGTCTGGCTGGTAGTTTTTTTTTGAGGGGGGGCTTCAACGTCTATATCCAATAAGCCTTTTGTGGGTTAAATTTAAATAAAATTTGGTATACCGAGTAACCTGATTGCACAAAAACAAATTGAATTCCCCACACTAAGACACTGTTGCTATACCTCGTGATTCGTGCAAGCTTTCGTAAGCGACCAACATTTCTGGAATGGACTGGTTTGGTGCCCTTTGCACCAAAACAGTGTATAGACCTTTTCTTCCAGCGATGTCATGATCGTGCTGGACCTCTGATGTGTTGTGGTGGTGAAGAGTGCATAGTGTTGTAATGGTAATCTAGTTATTCAAGATAATGTAGTCAAGCATGCAGCGTTCGCACGTACGCTTGCACGTGGTTGAAGCTGCCCATAGGTATACATGCGATCACCGTGAATAAGGCGGTCTACAAGTGGTGGTATTGTTTACATTTAGTCACGTGGGTGAAAAAGGTCTATTGGTGCAAGACGTCTCTTATGTATAAGCAAAAGCTTGCCCGATTCATGACGTATGGCAACAGCATATGCAGCAAGGTACGAGACGGAGAGAACCCCCCTGCTTTGTGTTGGTCATTGTCTCGCAGGAATCTGGGGAATTCCTTTCAGACATCTTGGGGGATGTGTTAAGTAACAATAGTCTGGAATGTGTACAGGGATTGGACATGTTGGGGGGGTACCCCTCGGTCTCATTTCCTGCTGGGTATAGGCAACAGTGTTTTTAGTATGGAGAACTCAAATTGTCACGTTCGCATGAATTCAAAGAACTCAGTATACCAGATTTTATCAAAGGTTAACTCGCCAAAAGCTTATTCATGTCATTCAGTTGAAATCAGAAAACTTTTTGAGTTTATTCTACTTTTTAGCTCGAAAATATTCGAGATTTTTGGCTCAAGATGGTTTGGCAATTCTGTCTTTTTGAAAGGACACGCGAGTCTTTATTAACTGGTTTCGACTTATGGAATAGAAAAGTGCAACCGAAAAGAATGGATGTGTTGATTAATCTGGGACCTCATACTTGGGGGCCTGAGATGCCATCCAGAACTTTGCCCGGAATCAATTTTGTTTTACAGCACAAGATTGTTAGTAAATAAAGCCAGTTTTCTAAAAGGACAGTCAGAAGGCATATGAATCAAAAACAGCATTTCATCTGCTTTGAGCACTTTATCTGCTTTCCAAGAACAGATTAATTCAGTTTCAGATTCATATGCCTTCTGGAATTCTATGTTGCTGTTCTTCAGTGGCTGGGACTCCGTGATGTACCGGCTATGCACAGATTCTGATTACTTGTATTCCCATTTCCTTCAGAAAAATTTCCTGGCCTCTCGTGTGATCAATTACGATCAAATGGATACAATAATTCAATTTAAAAGGGGCAGAAATCATGATTTGTTAACAAAGTTCGACAGGAAGATTCACTGGAACCTCTTTTTGAAAACGAGTTCCAGAACAACGACCCTAATGAAAACTTCTGATGGTCAGGGCAATCAGTTCGCAGAAGGCTCTGCGGTTAACACAGAACACTGCTTACAGATTCACAAGAATTGTGACATTTTAACGAGATGTTTGTACATAGGTCTATGTACATGTATTGACCTTGAAAGACCATAGTTTTTTAAGGGTTGAAACCAACCCTGAAAAAAGCTGAATCCAGATACATGTAAATCTTTGGCTGTGAGATGTGTTGCATGAGAATTTACACGTAAACGCATCTAGTGTTATTTTGGCAAAGTTCTGCACTGCTAAAGCAGGTTTAAAACAACAAATGCTATATGAAGTGCATGTAGTAAATTACATCTTAAAGTGGTCAAAAGATCGGATTAGGTCAGATGTTGGCACAGAATGGTTCTACACCCTAAAAAGAATAGCAACTAATTTTACATGTTGCGTACAATACTGAAATGCGCCGTTCGCCCACTTGAGACCGTTGAAGACTCAAGAGAAATCATAAGCCCACCCAAAACATACATGTAATGTGCGTTACTGTATATGACAGAGTAGTAGTTACTTTTTATACATAGGGAGTTGAAAACCCAATTTTCTAACCCCCCCGCCCACTTATCTGTGTACTTGTAGGAGGCAGTTTTCATGACCTTGTCTTGACATACCAACATCATTTGAAAGAAATTAGAAGCTACCAAACATGCACACTCAAGAGTAGGTTTTGATGCACATGTACATGTATACATGTTCTTAACGTGTATGGTGACTACCCGTAATGGCACCAGAGTGCAAAAATAGTAACAGAACTTGATTACACGGAAATAAACAAGCGCCATTTTGCAGAACATGTTGAAGTGCAGACACATGTATCATCAAGGGCAGAAACCGTCTGGGGAAAAAATCTTCTCTGCTCTGTGCCTGAGTAAACGTACTTCAGGAATCCTCACCCGTAGAGGAAAAAGGTTGAGAGTGACCGTTTCAAGTGGACACCAAGTACCGTTGCAAATATACCAAAATAAAATGGGTTACGGGTCCTTTGCGCAACGGGAGGTTGAACCCAAAAAGTGTGCAGTATGTTACCCCGATGGAATGTCATTGCTGCCACATTTTTGTTCATGAATGAAATCCACAGGCATAATTAGACAAGGAACAATATGCAATGAGTTAACGTATACCCAAAGCATATTACATCTACATAAGGTATATGACATAATGACATTTTATATACATGTACGTGTACTTTCCTGTGGCAGTGAGATGGGACATGATATACTGACAGGCATGCAACTTGGGCTTTGACAAGAAACGAGGAAATTCCTATCCTTATATAAGACTTTGTACAGTGTTTTTCAATTTTCAGTGGCATGAGAGTGAAGTGAAAATGAGGAAATCTGCTGATCAAAGGAAAGTTGCATGCCTGCATGGAAAAGTGCACATGTAAACAAAGGGTGCGTTACGTTTAAGATCTATTACAACGTCATCATTTAATAAAAAAATTACTTGACTGCGAGGCAAATGACAATGACGGTCTCCTTAGTGTGAATTAAAGCCCGCATTATGAAATCAAGTTAGAAAGCGGAACCCAAGAAAACATAATTTCGAATCAATCTCTAGGTACCAGTATCCTAAAAACCTTTCAACCACCAATGAAATTCCCGGAGTTAAAGTGTTCAACTTTTGCCAATTTGCAGCAAGAGGATTTGATATGTCACAATTTTGTTTAGGTGATTGCTTTGTTCTATGTATACATGTACATGTATGTACCTTGCGAAAGGGAAAGAAAAACTGGGGGATTTATTCAGGTGTTGTGTAAAATAACTAATGAATGCTTCACATTCAAAGAATGTCAGATTCATTTCATTCATTTGGAGTTTTGTAACATGACATTTTTTACCACAGATAAACTGAACCCAAAGGTGGGAAATATGCCTTTTCAAGGATTTATTCCCCTGAACACCCTATTTTGTTTTAAATGAAAAAAAAATCAAGAACTGGGGGAAAAATTGCTAAGTATTTGCCAGAGTACACTGGGATGGATCACTTTGTTATCGCCCTCGTTCACACTAAAAAGGCTTGATCAAATGTGCTTGAATCTGAACTTGTTAAAGTAAACTTGATACAGTCAAATCAAATAACATTGTGTGTTTCAGATTTTGGACACTGATGGCTTGTGTAACCTTTACTCCAGTTGCTGTCAGATTTTTGGATTCGGCAGGTTGTTCATGAAATTTGTTCAATACAAATATTCAGTAATATCGTCATTATTTTAACTGCACTTATAATAAGACAAAATAATGCACAACTCAAAATATGGTGCGTATCACGAAGCCATTTGTACAGTATACACCAGTACACACGACCTCAAGACGTTTTTGTTTAATTCAAGTACAGAAAATGTTTTCACTGTTCTCAGGCATGCAACTTGGACTTTGACAAAATTTAGGAAAACCCAATTTTTACAGGACTTTGTGCAGTGTTTTTCAATTTTTAATGGCAAGAATGTGAAGTGAACGAGGACAGCAGCTGATCTGAGGAATAGTTGCATGCCCGTGTTCTTAATGTCATTGTTTAATGCCAAAAGTTTGACTTAGTATCTGGCATATTTGCGGCGACCGTGTATGCATCAGAACTGGAAGATGGTCATCTGCTTTACGAATTTTTTCCTACTTGAAGAAAATTTTCAAGACCCTTCCATCAAGCATTTATACGTAAATATTCCAACATGATTAAAAATATTCCATGAAATCCGGCAATTCAAGTGGTTTTTCAACTCGTGATAAAGCAAAAATCTCTAAATATCATTACTCACCCGGCTGATGATTTCTTCAAAGAGAATTCTAAGATCCTGACATATGCTGCCTTTAACAGGACGCTTGGAAAGTAGCTGCTTTATGTAAAAGGATGTTTTCGAAGGGGGCCATATACTTGATCAAATGTACTGATTTTTCCTGGTCGTTGCCACACGACTGCACATATCCATGCCACTGGTGAAGCTCTGTCAAGTCTCTTGACAATGTCCCAGGATAACGAATTCTCACAAGACTCCTTACATCGATTAAACTGATGAGCAACAAGATTTTGAATTCATGAAATTTTTGTCATTCAGAAACTTATAAATGGTCTTTCCAAAGTACTCGCTGTGTCAGAAAAATTGAACAAACGTGTACACGTATATCTTCAGTCCATAAAATTTGTCTAAAACTCCTTTGAATAACAACTGAGTTAAAGTCTGTGGAACACATGTACTGACTTCTGGAAGTTTTTCAACACAGTCCTGGAAATGGTGACGATTAAAATTCATGTGTCATTCAGTGCAGCTTCTTCTAACGTGCACAACTTTGGGCCAATGTTGATGTTCTTTGGATGGAGAAAACTCTTAGTGAAAAAATGTTCCTGATAAGATGTCAACCGTTGTTTCACGACACATGTCCATGTACCCATGAAGCCAAGAAGAGGAAGTCATCGGGATCTTCAATCTCACCATTTCACAGGTTTACAAGAATATTAAGACATATTGATCTTAAAGTAAAATACTCCCCCATACATTGTATTTGAATAAGCATGTGAGCTAAAAAAAGCAGCCTTTTCTTTCCAAACATCCAATGCTTCACTCTGAAATTTGTTTTTCCCAAGTAGTCTTTTACTGTAATATTTCATGGAGCAGAATTCTGTCAACTGTTACAGTCATAAAGTCTCACAAATTGCTGTTGAATGTTGATTGTGTTTTGATACCAGAAATGATTAAATTTTGAAATAGTTGCAGAGGTTACAAGAAGAGATGGAAATACTTGCTTCAAGGTTTTAAATGTTGAGGCTGTAATTTGGTAACTAAAACGATACAAAGAACTCTACATGTACTTAAATCACTATCATGTTTTTCACATGAAAACAAATTTTTAAACAAGTCAACAACTGACTGAAATACCAGATGAGCTTGCAATCCACCTTGAGTTGAAGTGCACCCTCACTGGCGGAAGATAGACTGGTACGAAGTTTTCCAACCCGGTTCTTGCACGCGTTCAGGGTGCATGCGAAGACCGCACATTCTCGAATAAATTCATTGCGCTTACTCAACGCGCATTAACTTGCACACCTATGCAGTGAGTTCGTTCTAATTTCATTCAAAAGCACACGGTCTTTTGTTCCCGTTCGGAGCAGATACATTACTTCTGTTTGATGGGATGACTGCATGATGTACAGTATCTACATTTAACACTAACCCGTTCAGTCATGAATCCTTCACCGGTCAGCGGATTCAGGACTGCGAGAGTTAAATCATCAAGTGATTACATGTACGTGTATGTGGAGCAAGGATCCCACAACTAATAAAGGACTTTTCCCTTTTGAATTGTTTCAAGAAAGTTCAAACTGAAAAATCTCGGCTGCAGTATGAGTTGAAGTACATGTATCAACAATCATGCACACAATTTGGGCATAGGATAGGGCGCTTCCTTGAGTACAAAATGTGTTTAAGTCTGTAAAGGGCTTACTGAATTGGTGAATTCTGCAACTTCGCCCTTGAGCCGAGATGGCTGTTGAAAAACTAGTTAGATCAAGTACAATCACTGTCACAAATTACTTATCAAAAAGTGTAAACTCTGCTTGTAAATACCCATGATTCCAAAATTGTCTGGTGAATTTGCACGTAACAATATCAGAATCTTGAGCAAACGGACAAGCAGCTGACCTCATTTCAAAGGAAGCATAAAATATATCCACTGCCTTTCTGAATTAGAAGATACATGTAACTACTGTACAATGTGTATAGTGTAAAAGTGGGTGAGGTGTGGCAGCCCTTTGGTTAGATCAATGTTTTTCAGGCCCTTAAATTTAACATTAGTTTTGGATCAAATGATTATTGCTTTAATTACAATGCATGTTTTTGTACGTTAACTAATTTTTAGGAGAGGTTTACAAATCCCTCATAGACTGGGAACAAATCACCAAAAGAAACATTTCTGAGAATTGTGTGTGGACAATGCCTGTCATCCTCTTGCATCTTTCAACTTCATACAGCCAGCCCAATAGCTAATGTTTGTGTATGTCCCACTGAAACAAAAGGAGATCCGTGCATAAAAAATAAATTTCACATTTTCTGATTTTTAAAATTTTGAAAATTCTCCTACACCTTATGAAAGGGAGCCTTTAATTTCAAAGTGTAATGCACGAAACCCCTTGGTATTTTTACTAGGAACCATCCTGAATCCTCTGAAATCCTCTGATTTGCAACATGAAAAAATTGCATTCAGCCCAAATCCTCCAAACTTTCTTGAAAATGTCATTTGGACGTGTGGCCTAACTGCCCAAATCCTTCAAAATCCTCCAGCGATTCCTACCATTATGTTAAGGCAGTGCAAATGGCATTCTTGAGCAGTGCGGTTGATTCAAAAGAAATATCAGGCTGAACTTGTGCTTGACTAAGCACAAACAACATAAGGTCTAATCCACGACCTTCACCTATGGCATCCTTTGAAATCAGCCATGCACTTTTGCCATACACCATGAATCCTCCAAATTCCTCCACTTTGCAGAAAAGGATTTTGGAGGATTTGGGAGCGTTAGGGTGAAAAGGTAACAACATATTTCAAACATTTGAATACTTGCTGGCGTATTGCTTTCATACAGTATCATGTCTATGTCTATTCTGAAGGATTCAAAGCCATGGTTGAGTGTTTAGATTCCTTGATTCTTAAAAAAAAACGTTTTAAAAATCATTTGGGTATTTACGCTCACAGATTCTTAAAAGCAGTTCAAAAAATTATGTATACTCTTTGTTAAAAGCACTGGGTTTAAGACAATGACAGGAAATATGTGCAATTTGAGAGGGTACTGCATTTCCTAAAATATGAAGTGAAATGTGCCCACTGACATGACTGTCTGCACTCCACTGCACTGGTGACGCATCTGGGCTCATAAACAGCAAGTGTGAAGACCGTAACCCATTTCTCCATGTTTACAGAATATGGGAGTCTAAATGGAAGTTGCTGGCGTCTTGTAACCACGTTACGACGAATAAATGCTGGCAGCGGAAGCATCAACAGTCATGCTATGAGGCGTCAACAAGCACCAACGAGTGTCAACACACACAATTAGCGATGTCAACAAAGCATCAACAACTTAAAAATACCCTGTAAAGATTTCAGATTCTCACAGGACAATGATCTTTTTTTTGCAATGTAACTGTCGGGGCTGCCAGCTTTCTTTTCTCTACTGTCCAAGCAAACAAGATGGCAGCCAGTTGGTCTGCACGAGCAGGGCCGACATCGTCTCTCAAATTTCCACACCCAAATATCATTTTAGATAAATGTGATGCAATGAATTCTAATGGTTGGAGGTTGTTCCAGTTACTACCCTCACGTCTGGGCAAGGGGGCCTACCCCTTTCTTCATTTTGTATAGGGATTTGAATGTTTTCCTCATTTTACTGCTGCAACGTGATACAAATAACTGAAACCTTTTTGGTAGAGTGTGGGAGATATTCATAGCACGAATAAAAAGTGAAATTTCAGGCCCTGGTGTAAAGGTTAAGAGTTTGTCAATAATTTAGATTTTCCCCATAGATTAACACTATTGTTGTTCTTTTGAGTCCCATGTGTAAAATATGGAACAGCCACCAACTGACCAGTCTGAGAGAAGAACCAAGAATAACACTCAGCGATCGATGTCATTCCGACTGTGAGGAGGAAGATTAACATATAGGCCTACTGTAGCCTGACATGCCTGAACTTTTTAGTTTAAAAGCAATTTTTTTTTTACATAGGCCTAAAAATGCTTCAATAATTTGTTGAGGCTTTGTTGACGCTCGTTCCAACTAAATAAATAGCATGACCAAGCATCACCACACAAAGTCTGCATTACATAATGCAGCATGCTGCGGTGCACCTGCCGTGGCACAACTAGCTTGCCCCATGCACGACGAACCTAACCACGAGGAATCGGCCATGTCGGCGCGACGGACAAGTTGGAATTTTAAACCTCCTTTAACGTTAATGTTTAGCAGATTTACACACCAAAATATGACCAGTTTCTGCCCTATTATTTATACTTTAAGCTGCAAAAGTATTATAACTTGCACGTGTTACTCTTTGGCCTTATTTTGCTTGCTTACCTTCGTCAAAATCTTCGACATCACAAAAAAATCTGCAAATATGGCGACGACACACGCTCAAAAAAATTTCATAGGTTCATTATGTATAAAAGTAATCATATTGTTTCTACCTAAAAAAAATTATTTGGAAAATGTTTTTTGATGTTATATTAAGTACTCCAGTTTTTTTAGTGAATTATTAGAAATCTTTAAAAATGTGAAAAGTAAAGCCTTTCTGATATCATTTAATAATAGCAATTATTGAAAGAGGATACTACTAGTAGCGCATGCGCGTTGCTTGATGAGGCGCGTAAAAAGGTTTCACATCGACAGTCCAGTCTATATCTAGCTAGAGAGCGTAATTAATGAATATGCACGACCCTGACGTCGCCCGGCCCCATGCATACAGCACGTACGTTCCCGCGCGCGAATTTTCAACATCTGAACATGGCGAACATGTACATGTAAGTGATGACTATCGGTTAACGGGGCGACAGTAGAAGCATGGAGGAAGGAGGGGAAGTGGATGACAGTAGTAAGACTAAGTGGATTTGTCAAATGTAGACCTAGACCCGTAAACAGGGCCCGACAAATACTCCTCCGTCGTATACATGTACTGGGCCTGATTCATAGGGATATCTTTCGAAATGTTATCCGGGATATCCGCTATGTCCTGGGGCATAACTAAACATCCGCTTGATTTTATGAGCTAAAATTGCACCGGTATGTTCACTACTTACGGTGTAAACCATCCACTCGGTTGTTAATTGTAGAAAACTCGCCCTTTTCCTCATTTGAGGAAAAAAAGTCGCCTTTTTTGCCGTTTTCCCACCCCGGACGAAGTTTGCCGCGCTCGCACAAAAGCGACGGCTGTTTCGTCACTTTCTTGTTAAGTTACAGAGAGCGAGCCGCGCTACCAATGATTTGCCTTATATAGTGTGTGACTGGACGGGGAACCAGCCAAGGTCGTTTCGTATTAGCTGCGACACAAAACAGCCGTAATTTTCTACGAGCACTTAAATCGACAGGTACTCTCGCAGATCTGAACGAGACCCGTAGGTGCTGGAGTCTGGGTGCAAGCTAGACAGGCTCTCATACAGGTTACCATTACTTAACCATACAAAGGAGTGTGTGTAATGTACATGTACAAGTCAGGCGAAAATTCGTACAGAGTGGGAAAACGGCAAAAAAGGCTATATTTTTTCCTCCAAACGAGGAAAAGGCGAGTTTTCTACAATAACAAACCTAGTGAATTTTTTACAGCGTAAGTAGTGAACGTACCGGTGCAATTTCAGCTCATAAAATTAAGCGGATGTTTAGTTGTGTCCCCAGATGTCCTGGATAAAGTTTTCGAAAGAAATCCCTATTAATCGGGATAGGGCCCCCTACACGGGATCAGGTCAACTCGGACCCAAACCAACTCGGACCCATTTCAACTCGGACCCATGCCAACTCGGACCCAGGACCAACTCGGACTAACGCCAACTCGGACCCAATACTAACTTGGACCCACGACCATCTCGGACCCACAACCAACTTGGACCCACACCAATTCGGACCCACGCATAATCCTATAGTTGGGCCGGCCCAACTACAACACAGAGGTCCAGTGTGCATGTGTGTGTCCAGCATGTGCCAAAGTCAAATTCATTGTTTACAGTGTCATGTCGTAGATAAAGTGCCATATTTTAGATGAAATGTGTCAAGTTTAAAATGCATAAACTTGGCTAAGGTTGAGAAAATTTCTATAGAAATTGGTAAGCAACAGTTGGGCCAGCTCAACTGCAGCACTACAGTTGGGACTGTCCCAACTGTAGTGGGTCAGATGCTATAGTATAGTTTGGGTGTAACAGCAATAAGGCTAATGACATCAGATTCAATGTAATTTCCAGGCGGGCCATGGGTATTTTATTTCGATGGTGAAAAATTTTTCTTCTGTTGAAGAAACTTCCTTGAAGAAATAAACATTCTGCCCGATTTCAACAAAAATCGTCATCCAGGAGGTGAATCCAAAATTTCAAAATTCTTTCCATTTTGTGATAGGAACAGGATTCCACTATACAGTCCCCTTTTTTCCTCAAAAGGCTGGGGGAGAAGAACCAACTTTGGTCATCTATTGTGATCATTGCCATACTTTTGAAAGGAAGCAGTATCCATGGTCTATCATTGTAAATAATTTAAACTGTGTTTGAAAAAAGACAAACACTGCAAACTGGAAGGATTTTTAAGCCAGAAAACTTTTGCAGAGCAGAAAATAAAGGTGATTACTAGTCATTACACCACTGGCTAATTTGGGTGTGACTGAATACTGCATTCTTTTTTATGTTTCAAACAGACTACAGTATAAAAAAGTGTTGAACAACACTTTACGCTTTAGGTGATGGTTTGTTTTTACTGTGAAGACTGTTGAAATTCTATTGACGATCCCTGACCAATGGGAACTAGTTTTAAATTGAGCGTTAACCCTGTCGATGGTACTGGTGGGCATGACGTATGTGTTACTGCACTGACTTTCCAACACTAGTTTCTTGTTAATTTCTGTCTGCTCTTTTCAGTTATTAACATGCTGAATTAAAGAACATGACACAGGCAGCATGAGTGAATTCAGGGTTCATCATCAAGTCAGCGAGCTCATCAAGATTCTTGGGTAAGATTGCTGTGCATAGGGGTATTCGCTATGGCTGTATAGTTGTCAGTATTTTTGACCTGTATGCCTCAGTCACTATAATAAAGAAGTTTTTGTGAGAAAAAAATAATAAAGAATAATAATAAAGAAAAATTTGTGAGGTACCTGTTATCAATTAGGCCATTTTGCCTAGTGCTTATGGTTTGTAACTGCCAATCAGATCAGATCCAGCCATGGAGCATATGTTGTGATCTTTGAAAAGTCACATTGCCCCTACGTGTACTTGCTTCTCTCAACCCAGGAGAATATATGGGCACCTGTTAGAGCAGAAGGTTCTTGTGGTTGAACAGCTAGTTAGTGCTTGAGATGGCTGCACCAAGCTGTATACTTCCCAGGAAACTAAGATGGTATAAGAAATATTCCTGTGCCCAGTGAGCAGGGATAATTATTATGTACAGTATCTTCAGAACCAGTACTGGTGGATGTGTGTGTTATAACTACCTCCATTATTATTAAGCCATTGAAGATCCAGTGGTGTCCCTGCTGTCCAAGTTATTGACGTACTGCTTTCAGGATTTATAGATCTTCTTCCCAAGAAGCAGGATGCTATTATTCTATTAATTCTGTTTTAAACTTCCCCAGAATGTTGAGATCTTATGTCACTAATTCTGTGACTATCTTACCCTAGTTGTGAGCCCAAAGCCTTTTCTCCTTGTTTAGGCTTCCTGGAGGTGCAGGCCCAGAGCTCTATGTTGACCTACTTTTGAAGAACAGAACGCCGTATGTCACGACACAAGTGTCCGCTCACAGCGCCAAGCGCAAGATAGCAGAATTCACTCAGACACCTGTGGAGTTCCTCCAAAAATATGATGAGTTGAAATCCAAAAAGTGAGTCAACTTGACAGATTTTTTATGCAAATTCAGTATCTATAGACTGACAAATTGAAACTTGTCACTCAAATACAGTTGAACTTCATTAAGTAGAACACTGTTAATGCAACATTCTAGTTATGACAAGGACATTTAGTTCCTAGTCTTTGTTCTTTGTTGTTTTCATTTCCGAGTAATAATACAAGGTTCCTATTATATACAAGATAATCTGCATATTTTGAAGGACCTCTTTTTAGTAAGGTTCAGCTGTAGTTGTTTTTCTGCTCAATGAATAAATATGAATTGAATTGTTTTGTTATTTTTTTGGGGTTACAGTAATCGAGATCTGGATGCTTTTGTCTACCTTCTCTCCAAGTTGTCTGAAGACAAAGACACGGTGGCTGTCTTGCAGCAAAATGCCGTGGCTTTGCAGATGCCCATGGACAAAGTCGTTTTGCCTGCCTCTGGCTCCAAGATGTCGGAGCAGGAGGTGTCTGAGGTAAATAAAATAAGGGTCAACAAATTGATGGAGTCAATCTTCAATGTCAGCAAAGTCTCGGGAACAGGTTGCTGTTCAGTGGGTGTGAAGGGTGACAGAAGTTCATTTTGTGCTTTTCCAGCTACGTTGTAGTTAAATAAGGGACATCTCCAGATTTGAAACAGTTTCAAATGTTACTTTTGTAACAACCTTTGCCGAGTTAGTTGGAATTTAATTAGAACTATTTACATTTTCAAGTTTTCAAAGGCTTAAAAATCTGAGTGTCTGCCAGTTTGTCAGAAGAAAAATAAAAATCTCAACAAAAAAAAAGTGACTTACAGATTACCTGGCAACTTCTGGGAAGTTTGCTTGTCCCACTGCCACAAGGGAAGGGTCTATTTCCTTTGGTTTAAATTACTTGGTGGCAGCTTGAAATTATGCACAGCCTAAGCCACCTGGACCGAACCTGTGTGAGGGGCTTTGCTTGCATGCTTGGTGTTCTGTTTTCCAATGATCCATGTTGGCAAGTGTGTAAAATGGTATTAGCAAGTTCTCTGGTGGAATGAGCTGTTCCTGGCAGACAGTCCTGTATTGGAATAGCTGCTGCAAGTGAGAACTTGGAAAAATGCCAGGTAGAATATTTGTTGCATACTGAGTTGCTGCCTTGACAAGTAGAACTGGGTTCCTGCAGATTTGTAAATAAAGCTAAAGACTTCATTTTGAGCGATTATTAAAAAAATGGAAAAGAAGTGAAGAGTTCTTTTGAATTGTGCATTTTAAGCACTTGCTGCCGGGGAGCCCAGTTTCGGAGACGTTGGCTTTATACGTATAGCTGGGGTGCCCGAAATCGGACAAAGGGAACTGGGCTTTGTAACAAAAGACCAGGCTGCTGGGAATTGCCAACATTTTTTCAGTTGTCAATAGCAGAAGAAATCCGTCATTTTTTTGAATGATTACATAATTGTTCATGGAATTCAGCGTGAGCGGATTACCACTGGGGCTAAGAGCGCTCCAGCACTTAAGGCATGAGCAATACAATACCGCTGCACACTAATCTGGTCCGCATTTGAAAAGACACCAGCAGCGCTGGTGTTTTTGGAACAAAATGAAATTATGTAACACCGCACAATCTGGGCTCTCTTTACAAGGTAGCAGGCCTGGCTGAAATACTCGGGCATCAATAGATGTTGTCTGTCAGATTAGAGTAGCCACCAGACAGTCATTCATGTGGGTGTAAAGTTCCAGTAAATGAAGTTACGAATTTTTGAAAAAGTTTGAAAAAGGAAAATCTCAAAAATCCCCCGGGTATATGTCATGCAACTTCAAATTAAAACCGACAGCATATGGTTAGTGTGCATCATCTCTTGCGATGTTGCAGTTGCGAAACCAGCTATTAAGCGTGGCCAGCAGCGGAGCAACCAGCCAGGCATCGGAAGTCTTCAAGAAAATGATGCGAGAGAAACAGTCCCGGAAGAACTGTGAGTAGAGAATGTGGCATCGTTGTTACAGAAATACCTTTTTTGTTGCTTAACCACTCGTTGACAGTGTTATTTGTGGCTGAAAATTTCAACTTCCAAAAAGAGCAAGACAGCAGCCAACTTTCCACATATGGCAGACCATCTCAAATACAGGTTGGTTAGAGTCAGTTTAACAGTGTATTGACGATGTTTAGTACCCCACCTCATATGCTTCTACACTCTGGGGCCTGCCCAGGGATCAGTAATTGCTACAACACGCTGTACACTGCAGCCAAGGTCACCACATTATCCGCCATCACAGACTTTGTGTGTATACAAAACAAATGGGGGATTTTGTGTGCATAAATGTCAGGTGGAGGTGAGTTGAGGCATGCATGATGTTTTAACCTATCAGAAGTGCCTGTGATAGCCAGATCGTGTTCACAGACCCTCAGGCACAAAGTGGTTAAATGTGGTTGAGAGTTTACTCTGACAGCAGGCGCTTTGTGCCCGTTGAATTTTGAGTGTACATCTGTGTACTTATAATTGTGTTTTACAGTATCTTTGAAACTCCCTGAGTTGTCCTCGTGGGTCCTCGAAAGGCCTAACCTGACAGGGGACTTTGTGACAAGTCCAGGGACATCTGAGCCAGCTGTAGCTCTGGGGACGCTGCCCCTTGGGGTACAGGAATTGGCTATCGTCCAGGACCTCCTAATGGTTATGACTGTGAGTATTGTAATTATTTCCATTTAATGCCAAATTCCCCTCTTCCCATGAGCAGGGAGGAGGGGGGGACTGGACAATAGACAAGTCTGAGGACACCTCAGATGAATGTGGCTCTAGGGATGCTGACCTTAGGGGTACAGGAGAGAGCCAGTTCTATATTCCAACGGTGCCTGCAAAAAATGAAGAATGCTGTTGGTCATTCAAGAATATGAGGTACGAGCACTAAATATAAACTGAACAATGTTTGAGCTGGTGTGACGTCAGTTGCTCTGTTCTTGAATGACCTTTCCTTTCTGAAACACCAAACTTGCTCATTGATTTAGTCCTGGGCCCCTTAACCCTAGGAAACTACAACCTGTGCACTGTGAATTGCTCTCATGGGTATTATCACATATCAATAACTGCCCATGCTTCCCCATCATAGGTTACTTTGCGACAGGCTCATGGACGTGTGGTTGTAATCAGGGTGTGGCTCAGGGGACACTGGTTCATGGGTGCAAAAGTTGTCCAGGACCTGAAGATTGTTGTGGTGATGTTATAACCCACTGATCATTGTCTGAAATGTCAGGGTTATACCTGTTGTTGCTTTGGTTAAATCCATGAGAAACACTTGTGGTATTACTTACAACTTCCATGCTATTTTCTATCTCGATTTTTGGATTGTATGTTTCATTGAAGGGCACTGAAGGAAAGTACACCTTACTCCGTCCACCCCAGGACCAATCCTTAGGCCGCACATTTGTTGTTGACCAATCGCTGGACATCTCGTTGCGCGAGGTGGCCAATCGAATCCTTCCAGTCTGCACCATGTACTCCGCCGTGGTGCGGTTCATCGAAGACAAGTTATCCTTTGAGTACGGCGTGGTCAACCACGCCCTGTGTGGGGCCATGAAGACTCTAATAAAAGTGAGTATGACTGCAGCTGTGCCTTGCTGGCGTGTGTGGTCACTGGCAATTATCAGGGTCAGGGGTACTTATTTGGGCTATGCCTCCCCCTACCCCGACCCGCCCCACCTCATTGAGGGAAATTTCACTTGCCTTCCCTCCAAAAACTTGTAAAAAGCCTCCACATTTAGCTTCACCCTCCACAAAGGCATGGGAGGTTGCATAAAAATACTGAAATCCTGGTGGGTGGTGTGCATGCAGGATTGTTTGGGATCCACGAAATTAAAATCCATGGGGTGTTTTGTTGAGTTTAAGATAGACATTGTTACAGTCTAACTGCTGTGAATACTATGTGTTTCTGCACGTTGCAATCTTATGATAAATGCTTGGAACCGGGCTGAATTCAGTTCTATTAAAAATGACATTTATATCTGTTATGGAAAATTGTAAATGTTAATTTTGCAAAATTTCCCATTGTAGCTTTGTAAGCTGTCTTGCTATTTTTTTACGGCTGCTGAAAAATTAAATCTCACGAGTTTTTCTGTGTAAAACCCTGACAAGGAGGTGGTGTATGATCCTGTTCCGAGAACAGTGTTCTTGGCTCGTGTTCCTGCTGTTGGAGTGCAAGAACAAGAAACCCATGTCAAGAACTGGCCGCTTGAACTCAACCAGTGGTTGGGTGATAAGATGTCTGTACCTCCAAAAGAAGGTTGTTGGTGCTAGTCCCACTTCAGATAACAAATGAATATACATTCTTACACGTCGCTGGTTCGTGCCAGATTCAGAGAGAAGTCTACTTGATCTGATCAACTTGATTGATTAAATTTGTAGGAGTATTCCATCTTGACAGCACAGCTAGAGCATCAGTTCAGACAGGGCCAGCTTCCACTGCAGCGATTTTGGTTCTACATCCAGCCCTGCAAACAGACCATGGAAATCTTGGCCTCCATCGCCCAGGCCATAGACCGTGGGGCATCCACTGGGGGCGCTGTGCTCAGCTTACTTCATGAAAGGACGGCCGCTATGATAGGGTGAGGAAGCTGCAATTTGTTTCTGCAAGTAGAGGCTTGACCGTTTTTGTTCTTCTCAGGTCTCTAGTGCTAGTGCTCAATTTACTTCCGGTTCAGGATTCATTTCTTGTGATGGTTCCAGCTGATTCCGGTTCATGTATTTCAATCTGTTGTTTTTCATGACCGGTGCATGAACTGGATATGTATTAGCATGAAATTTGAATTTACATTCTGTTTGTTTGCTCTTTGTTTCTCCAATCAGTGACACGAGAGCCCAGAACCTTTGTCTGTTCTTGACGCAGTCGGCTTGTGCACCATACTTTGAGATTCTGGAGAAGTGGATCTACAAAGGGATAATTAAGGATCCTTACTGTGAGGTGTGTAGGACCCTTATCCTTTTATGTTTCTGCGCCTCTCCGATCTCTCTATGAAGCAAACAAATCTTTTCTGTGCTTGAATGCGCCATATGGAGTTGAAATTCTGAAGATTTCCTTTTTGTGACCGATTTCTTTCCTCAAATACTATTGCATGCATGAGACTACTCTGAGAAAGTGTCATTTTTCCTTCCCCGTGTAAACACTGGAAGAATAAAAGCAGAACCATGGATCCTGAGGTTTTAATCAATCAAAAGTTAGCAGGTAGTTGTAGTAACGATGTAGTGCTTTTGCATGTTGTAATATATTGAAGTAATATTTGTCCAAATGTTTTGTTTTAATCCTCCTTGTTTTAGTAAAATCAAAGGTTGCTCAAACAAGTACAGATGCTGTAGCTCGGAGGCTCAAGAAAACCCAGAGAGAGAGATGAAGAAGAATTTTTTGTTTTGGGAGGAAAAAATAACAGCACGATGTGCTTGGGAAACCACACTCAAGCACTTTAAGGACTGAAATCACAGTCTACATATTGGCCCTGGTGGGATTCGAACCCACGTCACAGAGGTGGAAGGCCAGAAACAGCACCATTTTGCCAACCTACCCCCCCCCCCCATGTGCCCAAGGTATTTAACATTCCACTTTTGGTTCTGTTGTAGTTCATGATTGAGGAGCATGAGGCCTTGCGCAAGGAGAAACTGCAGCAGGAATACAATGATGCCTACTGGGAGCAGCACTACACAATCTGCCGGGACAGGATACCCGTCTTCCTGGAGGCGGTGGCCGACAAGATCCTTCGGACAGGAAAATACCTCAATGTCATCAGGGAATGTGGTGAGGAAACTTATAAATTGTATAGCGTTGGTTGGGTGGGTTAGAGATCACACCTGATCATTTTGTTACATCTTTGTCAGTGCATTTGGAATAATAAAGAGGGATAAATGTCAGTTAAAGTAGTTGAATTGGAATTTCCAATTTCCATATTTCTCAATTAGCAAAGAACAAAAACAGTACTTTGTCAGCCCATTGTAGAATAGTTAGCTTTTCTTAAACGTTCGACTGACTCCTTTTTAAAGTTTCTTTCATCCCTAGCCCTAAAGGCCCCCCCCCGGTAACTCATGGATTTCATTTGACTTTATCTCAAAGGTCGTGATCCCAAATGCCCTCATGCGGAGGAGATACTGTACACATTGAAGGAGCGACAGTACGTTGAGCACATTGAACGCGCCTATCAGTATGCAAGCAAGGTGTTACTAGATCACATTTTGGACGACAGAGAACTCATGCCAAGGCTCAGGTGTGTTGAACCTCACTGAAAAAAACTCTCACATTATTAATTACTTCTGGTAAGGAAACCAAGAATTTCTCAAAAGCATCCTAAGCACTGTAGAGAGCAAGCCATGAAGAAACCTGTAGAGAGCAGGTAATGGAGAGAATTGAGTTTATTAGAAGTAGGATGAAACCCCAAAGGAATGCTTTGGATCAAAACCCACAGAGCCAGGTAGAGACTGCAAACCCAGTCCACATGTTGACCTTGATGGGATTTGATCCTGTGCCATAGAAGTTAATGGTTAGGAAAGAAGTACTGTGCCCGACTTGGCTTAATTCCTCCCCCTGCTCTGAACCCATCGTGAGGCTAGTGGAAGGTACGTAACGGCTTTGCGTAAGAAACAATGTACTTCACTGATGAAAGCAAAAACAAAAGTTTGACCAATAAATTCACAGAGAAAAAAATTACCTTGAACTGTTATTGTGAATCTCTGTACCAGGTCCATCAAAAGATACTTTTTGCTGGAGCAAGGAGATTTCTTTGTCCATCTGATGGACATCACCACGGAGGAGATGAAGAAGCAAGTGGATGAGATCATCCCAAGCAGACTGGAATCACTGCTGGAGCTGGCCTTACGCACTAGCCAGGCTAAATCGGACACGTTCAAAGATGACCTCAGGTATGTCATGTCCATAGCCCAGGCCAATGGATGGGCTGAGGCACTGGTAGCATGAAAGCCCTTGTAGAAAAATCCCTTTAAGTCCATCACTAGTCACCCAGTCTTAAGCCAAGTCTGATGCTCTTCGGGTGAACTGGGACAGCAGCATTGCTCACCCGGCTACTTGTGACTGGTCTTGTTGAAGGACTTGGGAAGGGACTTGTGAACAGTGTTGTAGTCAAGACCACTTAAGACCTTTACAAGACCACACAAGACCACCAGTCTGAATTCAAGCCACAAGCTATTCAAATGAACTGCAACAAAAGCATTCCTTTGCCATTGTTCACCCTGTTAGTTGTGCCTGTTCCTGTGCCCGGTCTTGTGCATTGTCTTGTGTCTGGTCTGGTCTTGTGATGGTCTCGACTACAACACTGCTTGTGAAAGGACTTGACCACAACTGCTAAGAGCTAGCTTTGTTCATAGCTTAATCCAGCAACCAGGAAGTAGAAACGGGTACTGTGGTGGTACAACACTCATGTCCACAGGATCTCTATGACCAAGCAAAGTGCTGCAACTTGCCAAAAAAAATGCATGCACGCCTGAAGGGTTTAAGAACGCTTTATGCAAGAGTAGTGCCAGCGCAATAATGGCGTCTCCTAGGATTATTTGGAAAGCCTAGGGAACTCCCCGCATTCATAGATTACCTAATGTTGAAATCATTCGCAGTATGGAACACTTCATTGCCAAGGGTAAATGCTTCAGTTAGTTTGTGTAAGTTTTGAGGACAAGATTGAATCACCGCATTACTGTGTCAATGAGAAGAACATTAAACAGTTAACAGCTCTGGATTATTGACATTGAAGTTTTCCTGTGAATTTTATTTCTTCAGGGTGGCATTGCTTCCCTATGATCTCATCACGCAGTTGCTGAGAATAATATCCATCAAGTCGAGAGTTGAAAAATGTAAGTTCTCAAAAAATGTGCACTTCAGTTGTTATCATCCATGCTATTCAGCCCCAATTTCTTTTGGCATCTGTGTGCTGTAACCAACTATTTCCCCACTTAGAGAAATATCGTGAAGTTGAAACTGTTTAATGTACAACTAGAAGGCAGTTAAACTGAAAGACGGGTGAGGCTGCGTTTGCAAAGGTTGAACGTCCACGTCCCAGTTTTGTGAATTGATTTGGCTGTCTGTGTTTACTCCATAATACCTGATTGATTTCCTCTCAGCAATCATTCAGGAGATTGACCCGACTGAAATCCACATCTCTTGTCTGGAGGCCTTCTCTTTTGATTACGTTGTCCGCTGGCCCGAGTCACTCATTCTCAGTAGAAAGGTCAGAGATTCCTTGTCAAGCTTTTGGTTCCGATTGTGCAATATGACGGACACTTTGTTACAGTTACTTCACCTTACAATAGAACAGTCTTAATTTTGAGCAAGTCTTATGCCTACATTGAATGTAAACATGGCACCTCCAGCCATTATTCACACAGAATGCTCAACCCTAACCCTCCAAGACCCTTGAAAATCCTGTTGGAGGTTTGGCAGGATTTTGCAGGATTGAGGCAGCCAAGCCACTATGGGGCTGTCCATAAACGAAATGCCGACCTTTCAGATCTCCCCCTATACGCTTGGTGCATGCAGTGGCTCCAACGTCCCCCCCTTTGTGTGTACGTACTTTATGGACAGCCCCTATTACCTGTATACGTAGGAATTGATGCTTCATGGAAGTTACAGTAAAAAAGCTTACATTGTGGGTATCCTGCACAGTGAAGGATTCGGGACAGTAATTGGCAAATATTTGGAGGGGGGAATTCATCTTTGTGTCAGAGAGAAACAGTCTTTTGTTTATCTTGAATTTTTTGTTGACATGAATACCACAGGCTTTGACACGCTACCAGATTCTCTTCAGACATCTATATTACTGCAAGCACGTGGAAAGGATCTTGTGCAAGTAAGTATGACTGCGATTTGCATTGAGCCCTTGACTGACTAAGGCGTAAAGTGCATCCTGTTACCTAGTTTTCCATTGAAGCTCTGGTAGATGAGTTGGAAGTGCAAAGTCACAGATTGTGTTTCTGCCTATATTCACGGCCTTACTTGAGTACTCAAACAAAGCAGTGCACAGCGTTAGTAAACGATGAAAATTATTTTTATTGGTATCACAGCAAGCTACTCTAATCCAGCCTGTAATCATGGATTTCTCTGCCTTGTTTTCCATTGCATATTGTTTTGCTTGCGTACATCTTGTATCTATCAAGAACTTCTGTCTCCGTTGTCTTCTGCCCACCCAGATCCTCCATAGTCTTTATACCACCCCAGACCATCCTAGAACAGTACAGTTGTGTAGCTTCATTAGCAAATAAAATACGAATTTTGGATTTTTGCCCTGCCCGGCGTGTATTTTAACACTGTATACTCAGTGTATGCCCCCGAAGGCTTGTGAAAAACACAAGCATACTCGGGTGGGACTTGAACCCATAAAATATGTTACATGTATGATAGATTTCAGTAATGGGTAAAGCTGTGTATCTCCAGATGCACAGCACTGTACTGACGACAAACAGACCTCTCTGAATAAAATGCTCAGTTTGGCCCCGAGAAGTACACAGCTCACAAAAGGTACAAAGTGCTAGCACAAACTTGTCAACTTAACCTCTTGACACCAGATGACGTGTAAACACACATAATTTTCCTTACGTGTTCCACGGAGGACGTGTACACTCGTTTGACACTTCTTTTTTCATTTCTGCGGTTGACATATTAATGCGTCCTGTTGGTTGGGTCAAAGCGCAGTCGCAAGTTTGAAGAATTTGCGGGTAAAAACCCACCATCAGCAGCTTTTTTGGGTAAGAAAATCCGAGGTTAACTGGCCAACAGACTTTCCACTTGGCGAACCTTCCTCTCTGTCTATCCTCAGCCTGTGGGTCTTGAATAAGGCTGCTAAGCAGTACACCCTTCACTCCTCCAAGTGGTACGCTGCCGCCTTTGCTCTGCGTCAGAGAATGCTTCACCTGGTCCAGAATCTACAGTACTACATGATGTTTGAGGTCATTGAACCCAACTGGCAGATAATGGAAACTAAACTGAAACAGGTGTGGGATAAACCGAACTTGTAAAAATGCGAAATTGCTACGTGATATTGGGTTTCCCCCAACAGCTCTCTGTATTGTTTTTGTGAAGCACTGTACACTCAGCTCTGTCTGAGAGCTCTAACTCAAATTGTGCTTGAGTGGGGCTAGAGTGTATGAGTTTCTCAAGTGCTTTTAGATATGATCTGCAGTAGTAAGCAGGAGGTTGTGGGCATGAGTGCCACCCCAGCAAACTTTTTTTCACTTCTGAGCTCTCAGACAGCACACACTGTATAGTGTTTACTAAAAAAAAATTATCTAATGGAAGGCAAAAATGATACTGAATTTACATCTCCCAAACATTCAGGGATTGACAACCTCCTGTATGCCAGATTTCAATAAGCCAGCCAACCTTGGCAGGCACGGCAGTTGAGTAGCTAAGACATCTGCACATATGAGCAGGAGGTCATTAGTTTGCAAGGGTTTCTCCAAAGCTTTTCAAAACGGGACTCTTTATTTTTTTGAAGATTTTCCAAGCAAACAAGTTCTGCGCCATGTCTGAGCTGAACAGGTTTCAAAAACAGGGAGTGCCTGATTTTGGTAAATTGGTGTTTGTATCTCTCAGGTGTCAACCATTGATGACGTGCTTGATATCCACACTGACTTTTTGAACATGTGTCTGAAGGACTGTATGCTGACAGACCCTGAATTACTGAAGATTGTCAGCAAACTCATGCTGGTCTGTGTCACATTTGCCAACTGCATACAGGTAAGAAACATCTCAATAATGGAAAGCGCTTTGATCTTTAGTTAAAAGTACTATATAAAAACCTGTTGTTATTTATTATTATCAATTCAAAATTTTGTAGATCTGTTACATTGATGGTCCAATAATGACAAGTGAGACATTTGTTTACATTAATTTAAATGGTACCTGTTTTGTTCTTGTCTGTGTATTTGTTTGTTGAAGTCAAATAGATTATATTAAGAAAGAAAAAAAAAGCAACGCACAAAAGTCTAAGGTTTCCCGCCACAGAACTAATTAGAAGATAACTAGATGAACGAACGAAATGAGGGAGTTAACACCTTTGAACAGTTGCCTACCAGCTTTCTGGCCCCACTGGACCTTTGTTGGGAGCCAAGTTGTCGGAACCACCCCTGTTTGATGAGCTTTTTTTTCCTCTTTCATTTACACAACGTTGTGTCCATTGTTATCGTTCTGATTTGAACAGCGGATGACAGAGACAATGAATGTGGAAGGGGAGGCAAGTTTCCGCGTTGATACAACGGATGCCAAAACAAAAGACAAGGACAGAGCGGAGAGCAAGAAATACAAGACTGCGACCAAGGTATAGACAATGTGTTAAGCTCCCGTTAGAACAGTGTGTAACCTGCGAAATGGAATTACTTGATGGTGCTGCCATAAACGTTTGTCGAGTTGTCATTTCCAGCACTTAGACCTCCCTATATTCATCCAAGGCTTTGTCTGAATATTGTGGCTGTGGCGGGCAATAACAGCAGCTATGGGAAGCTAGAGGCTGCAGGCACTGTGCATAATATGGCTGTGTGTGCTCATGATTAAAAAAGATTCTGTGCA